TAGAAGAGATTACCATCTGATTTGTCTTTGCATTTCTCTCAAAATCTTTACCATTACTATGTAAGTGATCAATAAATATTTTTGATAGAAGAAAAATTGTACAGTTCTTCTTCTTACCTGGTGGTGGTTAAACTAATTATTCATCATATTTAAGACTTATAAACTTTTTCAAATTATATCTTGGAGTAAGAAAGGTTAAGAAGAAAACTTAAGAAAACTAAGACATGGGAGATGGTTAATTTTATGTCAACTTGGCTAGGCCATGGTACCCAGTTTTTGGTTAAATACCAGCTTAGATGTTGCTCTGAAGGTAATTTTTAGGTGTGATTATCATCTCTACCCTAACTCCCACAGATTTCAGACTTGCCAGTACCCATAACCATGTGAGTCAATTCCTTAAAATCAACCTCTCTCTACATATATACTTAAGAACACACATCCTACTGATTGTTTCTCTGAGAACCCAAATACAATATGATTATATACTGTAACTTCTGAAAATTTTCTATGTATAATAAATCTCACATTAAAAAAGAAAAATAGGATGTATATAATATCAACATTTAACACTTACACACAGTCATAATGTCTCTGGGGTCAAAACAAATAATTAAAAATTTTTATTTAAGAAAAAGCCATGATACGACTTTTGATCATGAAATTAATGTTTTAGAATTATTTTCTCACTACAAAAAAGTCAAAAGCAATGAAAAAAAACCCCAAACCCCACACCAAAACACACATACACTCTTTCAACAGGTAACTACCAAATGATGGCTAAACATCATCCTGAAATAGTCCTCAGATCCAATGGTTAACCAGAATGTGTCTACTCTTCCTCCCCAGTGATGCATTTCAATTCTAACTGCATGATCAAACCAACAAATTGAGCTTGAGACAAAAAAAAAAAGAAAAACCTGGCTGACAAAGTCAGAGGTTGTAAGGAAATGCTTTTCAAGTACAAGTAATGCAAGAAATGACAAGTGAAGTGAAGGAGAGGTTTCAAAGCTTGAAAGACAGTCATCAATACTGACAGATTACTGTAATTCTGGCTGCCAGCATGATCGATTTGGGCAGCATATGACAATCAATATTGTCCTCATTTAGTGAACAGCATTAGATTCATAGATACAGAAGATGTTCCTAGGATAAAATTTAAGCTGTATTTAATGATCATAAATAGCACAATTTATGCTGTGGAATCTTAGTGGGTACTTTTATTGGGCATAAAATAACTGACACAGCAGTTCAATTATCCAAATATAATTGAGTTTATTACATATTCTTTTACTCCTTCATTTCTCTTATGAGGATTAAAATAGAACCTGATGGTTTTCAAAGCCTATTGCTACCTCAATTTTTATTGTAATTTCTCATAAGCTTTATTGATCTGTTTTAGAATACATGACTTTTTTCCTTAATGTGAGCGTATCTAAATTTGTCAAAACTACATATTTAAAATTTTATTATTTCTGAAATATCTGATATTTAAAATGAAAGGACAGCTATATTTTAGTATCGTAAAATGAAACCATCTAGTTGTAATTTATTATGTAAACTTTCACTTAAAAATCAAGTAATCTACCTATATTGTCAATTCCCTCAATATTTAAAATTAATATACACCTTTGTGAAAAGAGAATAGTTCTTCAGATTAGCAAAGGCTAAGAGTATCTCTACTATATACTTAAATAGTATGGGGAAACAACTTCCATACAGCTTCTAAATTCAAGCTTCCAAGTCAAGAAAAACTTGTTTGATCTAATGTTTTTACTGATTGTTGCTGAAGTGTTTTTCCTGATAGAAGTTCCTCACATCTGCTGTGTAAAGTGTTCATGTTTACTGTTTTCATCTTAAATTCTCTCTCTTCATCTTAGAATTTTCTCCAGTGTGGTATCTATTAATGTCTCAGCAAGATTAACTATAAGAACTCATGAAACAAGCCTGAAAATCCAATTCAATCAATTAACTAACCAACCAACCAAATATAAAAACCCAATTAGGCAATTCCTTGCTGTTGGGTAGAGTTGTTTTATATTGACTGGAATCTTTACACATAACAGAATTAACGATGGCACAAAATAATGTACCTTATTTCATTTACTAGGCGCATCTAAAATTCATTATCTCATTTATTCTTTGCCACAATTCTGAGATGGATATTAGCATGTTTTTTATTAAAGATGAAGAAAGTTAGGGTTAGAGATTCTGGGACTTGACTATGATCACAAGGCAGACCTCAGGTTAAAATCAATGTTTCTAACAGCAAATCCAGCTATTATACCTCTAGTGTAACATGCAAATCTGAAATAGTCCTCAAGAGGTGCAGGTAAAGGAAATTAATAAGTCATATCCTCACTTTTCATTGGTATACTTGAACTACTTGGTAAGATGGACATCTTACATGCTGTTTGTCTCTCAGGCCAGAAACTGTGTTAGTTCAATAAATTGAGTTCCTATTGACATAAGAGGCAAGTAGAGGTTTGTATTACACTCTAATCTCACTCTCATCACTTTCCCAAAAGATTTAAAGCATTCTTACAAGCTTTTTCACAACGAAGGAAACTATAAGGTGAAAAGCCAGCCCTCAGAATAGGAGAAAATAGCAAATGAGACAACTGACAAAGAATTAATTTCCAAAATACAACACACATTTCTCCAAAGAAGACATGGGGATGGCCAATAAACACATGAAAAGATGCTCAACACTGCTCATTATTAGAGAAATGCAAATCTAAACCACACTGAGTTATCACCCCATACCAGTCATAATGGCCATCATCAAAAAGTCTACAAACAATAAATGCTAGAGAGGATATGGAGAAAAGGGAACCCTCTTACACTCTTGGTGGGAATGCAAACTGGTACAGCCACTATGGAGAAGAGTGTGGAGATTCCTTAATGGAACAGAACTGCCAGATGATCCAGCAATCCCACTGCTGGGCATATACCCTGAGGAAACCAGAATTGAAAGAGACACATGTACCCCAATGTTCACTGCAGCACTATTTACAATAGCTAGGACATGGAAGCAATCTAGATGTCCAGCAAGAAATGAACAAGATAAGAAGTTGTGGTACATATACATATTGGAATATTACTAGGCTATAAAAAGGAACACATCTAATGAGGCTGACAAACCTGGAGCCTATTATACAGAGTGAAGTAAGTCAGAAAGAGGCAAATACTGTATATTAATGCATATATATGGAATTTAGAAAGATGGCACTGACAACTCTACATGTAGCACAGCAAAGGACAGGCAGACTTTGGGACTCAGTGGGAGAAGGTGAGGGTGGTATGATTTGAGAGAATAGCATTGAAACAAGTATATTACCATATGTAAAACAGACGACCAGTGCAGGTTCGAATCATGAAGCAGGGTACCTGAAGCTGGTGCTCTGGGACACCCCAGAGGGTTAGGGAGGTGAGAAAAGGGGGAGGGGGGGGCCTCAAGATGGGGTACACATGTATACCTGTGGCTGATTCATGTCAATGTATGGCAAAAACCATCACAATACTGTACAATAATTATCCTCCAATTAAAATAAAAAAAAGATTTAAGGCATTCTTTCTACTGTTTCTTAAATGAAATGATGGAAAACACTAACCTCAGGACAAACATCAGGATCAGGGGAACTATAAAGAGGCAAAGGTCAGAAGGATGTCAATTGCAGTAGAGCTGATGAGGTGGACAAAACTAGTTTATGCATCATAAGCTTTCTAGATAGATTCAGGAAATAATAAACTGAATCTTTACATTTCATAACAATGACCACTTTAAATCTGAGTTTTCAACTAGAAGTAAATGAAGATGTAACCACTACAAATAAGAAATGCTATATAAATGTCACTAAGCTTAATTAATCAATGTAACACGTCAGAATCTACCTGTAATTCTATTCCACACTGTCAGAATACATGAGAAATTACACAGAAATCAGGTTACTTAAGTCAGTGTTCCTTAAAAGAAGAAAACATATGCTGCTGCTAAGTCATGTCAGTCGTGTCCAACTCTGTGTTACCCCATAGACGGCAGCCCACCAGGCTCTTGTCCCTGGGATATGCTGTAGACTTATGATAAATCTATTTCATGTGCAATAGGATATTTTAAAAAGCCTTCCTTGTAAAGCTTAACATCTATAGTTTATTATGTAGAAGAAAAATAACTGAAATGTTTTTAACCATACAGAAAAAGTATACGAAGACACAAATCCACTTTATGAAGGAGTAACAGAAAACAATTTAAATTTTAAAACTGTGTGCATATTTCGTCCCAGGCAGTGCTCTAAGAGTTTTACACATATTGACTGATTCAGTTCTTGTAACATTATAGGCTAGATATTATTATTCTTCACTTTATGGATAAGGAAATGAGACTCAGAGAAGTTAAATAACTTGCCCAAAGCTGCAGAACTAAGGAACAGGTGACCAGTATTTGAGTCCAGGCAATCTGGCTCCAGAAGTCATGTTCTAAAACACTCCATGTCCTCTCATACTTCCATGTTTCTGTTTATGTTGTTCCCTCTGCTTGGAATACTCTTCTTAATCTCATCTACCTGATTAACTCATTCATCTTTCAAGACTGGGTCAATCCTTATATTCTCAGAAGTGTTTGCTGATATACCACCATCCCTTCCAGCTGAGAGGCCCCTTCTTATAATAACTTGCAGAACATTCGTGCCTAACACTTATTACAGTATAGATACTGAAAACAATGTATTTCCTCAACTAGACTGAGTACTTTGCAATGACTGTTTTGGTTATCTCTGCACATCCAGATTAGCAGAACACCTCGTACACAATGGGGCTCTAATTAATTAACCAAAAGACAAGTACTGACTACAACTGTATAAAAGAAAATACCGTAATTGTTTAAACACTGGGCAGGAACTGCATCATCTATATGTCAACAAACAAAAACTCCATAGGTCTTAGCAAATTAGAAGTTACCTTGGAAAGTGGAAAACAACTGTTAAACCAACTGTTAAAAAGGATACAAGTTTTGATACAATGGAATCAGCGATTTCAGAGCACGGCTTGCATTTATAGCTGTTGCTCGAACCATAATAGGTAGGACCTTTCCATTCACAATAGCACCATCAAAGAGTGGACCAAAGAAGGGAACCTGATTGAGAAATTAGAATAATTTAACAATTCAAACTGGAAAAAGGCTTTAAATAACAATAATCAAAACAGTTTGCATATTAAAAAAATCTTTCTGCTTCCTCTTTAGTTCTTCCTTTAGTAGAAATGCTGTTCAAATTTTCTGCCGTGATGGGTCATTCATACTAAGACAACAAACAAAACAAAAAATGCCAAAGGTCTACAGAGGTTCCATTCAAAAGAATTATGTGCTTCATGTAACTGATTAAACAACTTATACTACCTGCCAATTTTCCAATTTTTGTAGCCTCAATTGTATACAAAAATCCAACACTTCAAGTTACTTTATTATTTTCATGCAATGCCAGCTTTACCAATGAACCTAAAATACTATTTTTTATTATATGGTTTATTAGAAAAAGATCTATGTCACTATTATCAGATAACTGATATTTTCAAAAGGATTCCATTTGAATATGGCTAGTACAAATGGCAGCTAAAGGCAAAGACATGAGCTATGGATAATACAATAAATATTTTATGTTTTGTGGCCACATGTTGTCTCTGCTGTATATTCTTCTTCAACTTTTCAAATGAGAAAAACCCATTAAAAGTGTAACATTCTTAGTTTGTTGGGTATATGAAAACAACAGGGAACGGGCCATCATTTGCTGACCTCTGATTAGATGAATCCTAAAAAAATCTGGCCATAAGCCATTGCTTCACACATGGGAAACAATCCACTTCAAGAAGATTCATGATCAACAGTCAAAAACTAGTTTTGTTAAATGTACTAAAAAAAAAAAAAAAAAAAAAAGACACCAAAATACTGCCAAACTTTTATTCTTCTGAAAGAAAATACTTCTGCAGGTGTTTCAGCCCTATAAGACATTCAACTAGAACTACTTGCTTTTTTTAAACTTTGTAGAATTCTCATTTAAGTGACATAACTAAATAATCATGTAATCTTAACAAAATATATCAACTAAAAATATAGGAATCATACTGTTCTTAAAAGGGAATGATTACAATGCGTTTTAGGAAGCTCTAAATCGTCCTGTTAATAAAGGTAAGTCTTTTTGTGAGCTTGGTGAAAGGTACTTCCACTCTGGCACTACCTGGCCTTGTCCCACTCAAGTACGGTTTCTGTCTGTCTTTCCTGCTTTAGCTCCTTCTGAACTAGACTTGGACACTTCTACACAGCTTTTAGGGTCTGTGTCTCATCTCCCTCTCCATTTTTACATAGCCTAATTCATCTGAGAGAAACTCACAAATCCACATAGAACTCAAAATATTTTATTAAAATGTAAGATAAAGAATTCTTACCTCTGGTTTTTTCATTATCTGGATGCTGAACATGTGGTTTTTCATCGGGTATATTACAATAAGGACATCACCAAATTCTGTAGGAATAATTCCTCTCCTGTAGTCTCTAGTATGCTCTGACCAAACAATGTGCACTTCATCATTTCCTAAATGTCTCAACTGGAAAACCAAGAAAATAGTTCATAGTCCTTGAGAAAAGCCCTGTGAGTATTGTCATACAGCTACTGACAACATACTATAAAAAGATTAAAAGGGAAAGAAATTTTAAAAATATTTTTAAAACTTCATCTGATCATTTTTCACAACATGCAAAACACAAACACTCAAAAAGATGTTAGGAGATGCTGCAGAAGACAAGATAATTTTCAACTGTCTACAGTCAATGGGAAACAGAGAAATTAGATTAAAAAAGATTCACGTACAGTCCACTCTTCTTAACCAGCAATTGCACCAATTTTCCACTACCAAACCTTTTCAAAATTGTTTAAAATAGTGTTTTAAAAAGTGACTGATTTAAGACTGTTCTTTTTTTCTGACCACTCTCTGGAAGTGCTAATGACTCAAAGTGACAGGGACTAAAGGAGGCAACAGGAAGAGAAGTAAAAGAAGTAAATAATTCATAAATTACCTTAGGAGTAAGAGAAAGTTGATTATACTTGGCTTAACATTTATTTCCAGGTTTTCTTTGCCTATGAAATTTTGCCTATGAAGATGTTTTTGGCAATGAGAGTTAACATTGTGTTGATTAAAATTATAAAAAGTATCTAGAAGTTAGATTTCTATTAAGTTATTAGAAAAATTAACTTAATATTCATCAGTACTGAGTTTTCTTCAAGGAAATATGTTTAAACATGTATTTTAATATACAGTTTGGTTATCTTGGTACATTTATTGATTCTGTCACTGCAAACATTTGAGTCCATTATTGGTGCCTATCTCACAGGTTCTTCTATTACCTTCAGATAATCTGAGATACTGTAGACAGAAATGTATGGAAGAGAAAATTAGGGTAAGTGTTGTCAATATTCTTAGTATGGGCTAAAATACAGGCAATTTCTGTTTTTGAAATAGCGATTTATTTTGGCTTACTTACTACACAGCAGGGTTACAAACGTGTGATTCAAACAAAGAAAGGAATTAAGTCCAGTTAATAAAAACTTCTCTTCTGTCATCCTTTAACCATGGAGTTCTTAATCTGGGTTCAAGGGAATTTATGTTTTTGCAAATTCTATGTATTTTTCTGAGAAGAGTCTATCATACAGGACTAGGTAACACAAAAAAAGCCAAGAACCTATGTTCTAGTGGTTCTTAAAAGTCCCCAACACCAATCAATCTATCTAGAAAATCCTAATCACTATGAATAAAATTAAGTATGTGAAAACACAAGGTAAATCCCTGAACTTTAAAATTTATATTCCTAAGTAAGAAACATCCTCTCTTCTTTGACGGATTATAAGATAGTGCCAGCTATTACTCTAAAGACAGTGCCTAGCTAAATCTATAGAGCAGAATCTATTATTTTAGAAATATAAAGATTTTTATTTTCTTTTAAAGAAGAATTTTTTTAAGGTTTAAGTGGATTAAAGTTTCTTTTTGGAAAACATAAATGTGCTTATTGCCCTAAATACATGATGATAGACCTCAAGTATCAAAACAATGTTTATTTCAAGTTTTAATTATCATTATTTACAACATATACACACACACACACACACCTTGAATGATATAAATGCACAGCTTGGGCTTTGTGACATTTTTAAAAACCAAAAAAGATTACACAACTCAGAAAAGCCATGGCTCTATAATTTCATTTTTTAATCAAAATACTTTAAAAATATCCTTCCTATACAGCCATCCCCATGTGTCAGCTTCCCTAATAGGTTTATGTTAACTGAATACAAAAGAAATGTGAAATAAATTTAACCAGGAGGGATGATCCAATCTAATTTTGATACATTAATGTCATATGCTGTACATGTTACAATAGCAGCCAGATCTAATACTAAGCTCCAGGCTATACTGAGATTTCCAAATGGCAGATTGTTCTAAGTGATATCAAGTATAATTGAAGTAATAAACGATAGTAAAAGCTGAGCACACTGTCAGGAAGAATTTAAGTATTTACTTTTTAAAATTAAATGAGTTAGGTTAGGAAAGACAAGACAACTGAAATAATGCAGGTCTCAATTTACAGAAAATTCCTTTTATTTATCTGCTACATTAACCCTTGAACTCTTGCCAAAGCTATCTATAATTTCTAGTGCCCACTTATCTAAAGAAATGAGAGAAAAGGGCAACTGTAGTTTTATTTCATAATGAAAGTTTGTCTTCAAATATCTACCACAGAGTATTAAAAGTCTGTTATGGAAGTTTAACAGAAAAGAATAATATATTTTTACAAAAATACTGTAATGCAGATATTTGTGGCATAGAACCATGCACGTGACAAAGTCATTCAAAACATGTTGAATCATTTTAACGAAAAAGCTTCAAGAACATCCCTTATCATTTATGTCCAAATGCTAAAAAAAGTAATTATTTTATACTGTTATATTGAGGCATGTTTTTATATCTTTGTCTTTAAAAATGTTATATAAAATTAACTAAATTACTAATTACTATTATATAATAATTAAACAAATGGAGAAACTGCTAATCACTACCATGTATCTTGGAGTTTTTAAAGACTACTGAAAATAAGAATTTTGAGTGGTTAACAGTTAATGGAAATTTCAGAAGTATGTTTGACATATTTTATATAGTATTTTATATTTTAAATTATTTTATCTGTACCTTATCTTATAAGGATTTAAAGGATTGTGTGTTATGTACTGGTTTCTCTCTGGGCTTCCCAGGTGGCATAGTGGTAAAGAATCTGCCTGCTAATGCAGGAGACTTGGGTTTGATCCCTGGAGGAGGAAATAGCAACCCATTCCAGTATTCTTGCCAGGAAAATTCTATGGACAGAGGAGCCTGTCCGTGGGGTCACAAAGAATCAGACATGACTTTAGTGACTGAGCATGCATGTAATTATGTATACTGAGAAAGTTTTTCTATATACTGAAAACTCACAAAGGAATTCCCACCTGTGTATTTTTGTACCCAGATGCCAATCACTTCTGAAATAGAGTATAAGAATTCTATATATGGGATAGGTCTATTAAAATGATTGGCAAGCAAAATATTCTTCCAAATTCACTTTCACTGCTATTGAAGTCATTTTGGAATTCAAGGTATATAACATAAGCTGCAGATTATCATTATCAATTTCTGAAGACAAAATGGTTAAGTTTTTTACAAACATTTATTTTTCTGGATTATTATCTCAGCTTATTGATATTTCTATTAAATTTTGGTGTGTGGAATAAAACAATATCAAATCTAGAATGTGCTCAGTCGCTCAGTTGTGTCCGATTCTTTGCGACCCCCATGGGCTCCTCTATCCATGGAACTTTTCAGGCAAGGATACTGGAGTGGGTTGCTATTTCCTGCTCCAAGGGATCTTCTAGACCGAGGGATCAAACCCGAGTTTCTTATATTTACTGTACTGGCAGGCAGATTCTTTACCACCAGTGCCACCTGTGGAAGAGAATATAAAATCTACATATGCTCTAATACAACCAGAGACTACTTCCTTTGTTCTGTACACTCAATTATTCTCTGCATTTTTACAACACTGCCTTAAATGGAAGCTGTAGTCAATTCAAACCCTTAAGACTTTTTCTTAGAAACTTTAAGTAGGTACAACTGACTACTAGAACTACAGCTCTTAATAAATTTTATCTTACCAGGTTCTGATTATCTTTAAGCCTATCAGGGTCTTTTGTTAGCATGATTCTTCTATTCAACATGTTGGCTCTGACTTTTCTAGATTTGGGTTATCTTTAAAATCACATTTTTTTGTCTTTATTTAGATTTTGGATAAAAATGTCAAATGGGACAGATCTGGGTAGGAGCCTTACAGCAAGTCATTACAGATGTCCTTCTTAGTTAAATGAATATCCAACATTTATTAAATGTTTTCTATTCTAAGTGCTCTGTGATAATTTATTTGATGTTCACAACAACACTATAAGGTAAGTATAATTATTACTAACCTTATTTTTATAGGTGAGGAATTAAAGCTTAAAAAGACAAAGTTATATAACTAGTGTGGCAGAGCCAGGATTGAAACCCAAGCAGGTTAGTTTCAGAAACCACACTTTAACCACCTCTATACATTGCCTCTCATTAAATAATTAATTAATGTCTCTAGATATAATTACACAACCAGTCAAGAATATACTTATTGAACTATTATTAAGACCACATTTCTTCAACCTGTCCACAACAAACGACTTAGTTAAATGCTTTATACTGTCTATGGCCTTCCCTGATGTAGTAATCCTATTCAAACCAATTAAGTTAGTTTGATGTGATTTGTTATGGCGAACTCATGCTAGCTCCTAGTGATCACTACTTCATTACCTAAGTGCTCACAAACCATCTGTTTAATAATCCTATTTTGCCAGGCACTGACATGCAGCTCATGAATGTTAGTAATTTTTGTACTTGGTGGCCTGTTCCATGTCCTTTATGAAAATCAGATGTTTGCTTATCAACAACAGTGTTTCTTATTTTCCATGATTTTCAGGAGAGATTCCAGAGTTAATTCTAGATTTCTTCAGTGAAAATCATTCATTTAGTGCTGGAGACTAAAATTCAGGTAATGTAACTGTATCATCTCTTTTACAAAATTAACTTATCCCCCAATGTCCCTATTTCTATTAAAAGCACCTAACAACTAATTATAATTACTTAGGGTCAAAACCTGAAAGTCTTCAATTTCCGTTTTCCTTATAGTACCTCTGGGCTTCTCTGGTTGCTCAGATGGTAAAGAATTTGGCCTGCAATGCGGGAAACCCAGGTTCAGGAAGATCCCTTGGAGAAGGAAATGGCAACCTACTCCAGTGTTCCTACCTGGAGAATCCCATGAACAGAGGAACTTGGCGGGCTACAGTCCATGGGGTCGCAAAGTGTCGGACACAACTACACTTATAATATCTCTAACAAGCTCTTTATAAAAAATTTTTAAAACTATCATATTCCATTTTTGCACTTTCCTTCCTATTAACTCTACTGTTGCTCTACATAAGAGGTAGTCATCCTAACAGCTGGAC